GGCCTGTGAGACCAGCCCCTTGGTCTGTTCTCACAGGCCTGTGTTATATTCGGGGTAGGCCAGTCCAGGCCGGTACCTCTGTCGGTACCAGCCAGCCCAGTCCAGTCTCGTCAGTCCGCTGGGGTATACCCCAGCCATTGTCTGTTTTCAGTCTGATTCCTCACTTGCACATTTTGGAGTACGTGCGTTGGAGTCTTGCGTGGGGAGCTGCGTTGTGCCATCTTGCTCCCCCTTCTTCCTCCATCTCCATCTCTGTCACTAGCGGAGCACCACACCTGGTGGGTCCGCTACACCGGATGTCCACAGTTTGGTCCGATGTTCGCCCGATGCAAGTTGTCGTCTGTGATCGAGTCAGGCTTGGCCACTGTTGTCGGCTCGTCTGTGCCTCTCCCCCAGACGGGATTGTCTGCTCTGTCGATGGGGCAGGGCGGGGTGTTTGGGGAGGGGGCCTCTTATTGGGTGCATTCATGGGTCTTCCATAGGGGCTCATCGCCAGTTGCCTGCACTGGCTATGTCTCATGGCCCCTTGGTAGAATATGAGGGACCCCGATCCCTTGGTCTTTTTAACCCCTGCTTCCATCCGCATCAGCTTTATACTCTGTTTTTTTTCTTGTTTTTTTTTTTTTTTCCGTCTGTTTATTATTTTTTAACCCGTCTGTTTCCACTCTTCTTCTTTTTTTGCGTTTTGTTCACTGTTGAGTTTCCTTTCGATGTAAAGGATTAAATGCTTGTTTCTATGGTTGATTTGCTCGGTTGGCCGGGGAGGGCTAGGCGGAGGGAAGGGGAGGGGGGGATGCAAGAGAGGAAGAAGGAAGGGGGACAAATTATACCGGAAGAGTAGGCCCTCCTGTTTATCGCCGAGCTTCCTTGGCATCGGTCGATTCCCTCCTGTGAAGTCTCCTTCCCGGCGGAACTGCTCCTAGCCGCGCTGTATCTCTCCTTTTCTTAGCGCTGTTGGTTTCCACCTTCACTTGTATTTGTTCCCCGCCTTGTCACTAATAGCTGTAGTCAACGCTCGGTCTCCTCCCGTCGCGCCCGTTACCTCCTTCGTCGTCCTTTGGCAGACACACCCTCTTCTGATTCTCTGGGTGCCTGCGAACGGCCGCGCCTAGTTTCCAACGCACTCCCTTGCGTCGATGGTTGTTTTCGTCGCACCACATTGGGTGCCCTCCACCTCCTCAGCCACGTGTCAAGAATCACGCCCAACTTGCCATGTAACTCTCTGCTTCTCGCTTCGATGATTGTTGTCTTCGTCGCAGTCGACCTTCTTCTCACTTCGGTTGTATCAACGGCTCCCTCCACATCGACTCGCCTGACACCTGGTGATGGCTGCCCTACTCTTCTGTTGCCACGTGTCGAGAACGTAGCTATCTCCCGAGTCTTGCGTGAAACCCCTCAGCAGGTTTTCGGATCCTGTCGGGGGTCGAGCCGACAACCACGTCAACCCGTAACGCTGTGCGGCCCAGCGCTGTTGACTCTCTGCGTGTGCGCGAGGTGCCTAATCTCCCAAATTCATAGTATGTGATAGACTATGTATTCGCCGTAGTAATTTGCTAAGTACAAATTTTTCTTAGCCAAAGCCGGGTAATGGCCCCGGTATCTCAAATATCTCAAATTTTCAAAACTTCTATGTAAAAATTTCCATATGGGACGTTGGGCCTGATTCCCAGCACGTGCTGCTCCCCACGAATAGATTGGAGCCTTGTTCCCATAAAAAAAAAAAAAAAAAAAAAGAGGACTCCTTCGGTCGCGTGACATGTAGTTCGGACCCTTCATGGAAGGGTTGGGTAAAATGCGGGGCGAGGAGGGTGCGGGACCTCTGGGACATGGGTGTAGGGAATTGGGAAAGCGCATAAAGAATGCACACATGGTTGAGGTATTGGCACTTTACTGAGTCTGCACTAAACGAACTCATTGATAGCTTCCCCCTCTATGGGTATGTCACCCTTCGGAAAGGCCCCTGCTTGGAAGAAGGAGACTGGGTAGGGCTACCTGACCACGAGAATCAAGTAGGGCGAGTGCACCTAGTAGACCGAACGTAAGTGCTGATCGAAGTTTTTTACACCCTGGAGCACGATCAATTACGAGGGAGCCGGCAACCTTTATCTGGAAAGAGGAAAAGGAAGTGTATCGTGTCAGAGTGATCGACGAGGGAAGAGGATGGAGGGTCTACCGGCCAATGACCCCGATTGAGGATCTTCCCCCAAAGACCCGACAAACTCAAGAAGGGAGGGAAAGGCAAAGACGTTAGCACTAGCCAACCTAAAAACCAAGTCAGTATACCGAATGCTCAGACCCAAACGCAGACTGCGGGATGTAGTAGAAGATAGGTGGTATCGCCACCTGAACATAGACCGTGGCCTGCTCAAGCCCATAAGGTTGTTTGGAGACTATGGAAAGAGGCCGACGAAACTTTCCGCCCTACAGTGGCAAATTGCGCACCGGTGTCTGCCAACCGACGATTGGCTAATAGAGCACACACATTTGGAGCAACAGGCCATGGTGCCATAGATGTCTCCAGTGCTACCCCCAAAAAAACGCTCCGAGATGATAGAGCACATCTTCCTTCAGTACCCCGCGGCTGTATTACTATGGAGGTGGTGGGACAGGATTTGGTGGCACATGGTACCAGACTCATTATGGCCATGGGACTGGAGGGCCATACTTCTGGGACATTATTCCCAGATTCAAGGAAACACATTCGAAGAGAATATGTTCCGCCTGGGTAGACGCTGTGGGTCATATGGTGGAGAAGGTGTATCCTAGAAGTAGAGGGAGCAAGGGTGGAAGATGGGAAGGTCACGGAGCAATTATGGCTGTTAGTTCAGTACGAGATTACAGCCCAGTGGGGGGCGGCTAAGGAAAAGTTGAACCAAGTGCACACCAGGGGTGATATCAACAGAGTTATCTCTCAGTTCGGCGAGGAATGGTTGGGAGGGAAGAGGGACGGCTGGGTGGCAAGGGTGAGGTGGGCAGGAGATGGGACAGGAGATGGGCAACAGGAACACCAACGGGAACATCGACAAGAGGAGGGGGTGGGACCGCAAGGGGGACAGCAGACAGGGATTGAAAGGGATTATCAGCTGCTTTTTCATGAGTGGACAAAGGTTGACCCTAGCGACCCGTTACGCCCAGCCCAGGAATTCGCAGACCCCCCCCCCCCCCCCCCCCATTGTCCCTGGATGAAATGCTACCTGAGTCGCTGTTCCCGGACATTGCCTAAGTACCCAAGTACCTAAGCAGCGCCATCTGGCGCCATCTACAGTGAAGCTGAGCATTTCCCAAACCTGAATAACTTCGACAAGAACACAGCGATTGGGGCCAGGCGAGTAAATGGAAGGAGGTCCCCATTGGTGCCCCCCAGTGGCTCCTTCCGTGTTTTTCCTGAGCCTGGCCGCATGTCAGGGGGACCTGGTTTCCAGCGACAGGGTCTTTCCTGGATTGTTGCATAGTCATGTTTTTTTTACTTTCACCTATGTACTTCTAAAGGACGCTGAGCCTGTTTCTCAGCAAAGATGTATCAATGGGACGCTGGACCCGGTTTCCAGCAGGTGCTTCTCCCCACCAATAGATGGAGCCTCCCCGACGGCGCTAGTGGTGTCTGCTCTTATCAGCACCTCTAGCACCCGCTCGGGTTGTTTCGAAAAAAAAAAAGGTGATTCTCAACTTGGCTGGGGTTTGAGGTGTGGCATGTGCATGCCTACATTTCCAGAAATCTGCCTGTGAAAATTTTTGGTGATTTAGAAAAGAAAGGGCAACAAAAGCCATGCCCATTTCCAGAATCAACATCTGGCAATCCTCCCTCCACAGGCAGAACCAATTCTAGAACTTTCTAAGGGGCAGAGCTCTTTTGATTGTTTGGGTAAAGGACTGAAATAGTCCACTTGGGATCCTGAGGACAGAACTAGCCCCGTCAGAATGCATCGGAGGTTTGCATGTCCAGGTGCGGACCATGCACTGGGCATTTGCAGATGCAGAGGGAGGTTCATGGAAAAGTGCTAGGGATACATGTTGATCTGGCGCCTGGTTTCAGGTGAAGAGGCACTTGAGGAGTTCCGGTTCCCAGCATGCCATATGTTTGCCAATCTGCAATGTATCTCAGGGGACGCTGGACCCGCTTTCCAGCAGGTGTAGCTCCCCACCAATAGACTGGAGCCTCCTGGTAGGAGTGTATGCTCTTACCATTACTCCTACCTTAGCTGTTGACGCAGGTGGATTGTTCTTTAAAAAACAAAAGAAAAAAAAGGAGGACAGAACTAGCCCAGTCAGAATGCATCGGAGGTTTGCATGTCCAGGTGCGGACCATGCACTGGGCATTTGCAGATGCAGAGGGAGGTTCCCCCTTCATTCCATGCTTATGGCCATTGATCCTTCAATATAAGTCTAGACTGAAGAATCCAGGTGAGTGAGGCCTTGGCCCAGGTCCATTCCAATGGGGCTAGTTCTTGCATGTCCAAACCTGAGCGGCTTGTTTATGACACCCCCCCACCAACCCGCCTTTTCTTTTGGTGTACTTCCCTCTTTTTAGTCCTTGACAAAATGAACCTCTCTCTACTTAAATGCCTCTGTCAGGATGCCTCTAGAACTGCTGATGAGAACGTGTGCGGATCTGTGACAGGATGCGCAGTCAACCAAGTGCGCTTTGACACACATGTTCTGTATGCGTTCTGTATGCACGCGCCAGAGGTACACCGGCAAATGGAGCATCAACTACCTTTTCCCTGCCTAATTTTATAATGCTGTGCAAGTCTCTGGCAGAGCTCCACATGTGCATTTCTCAGTCGATAGACTCTTTTTACCATTCCTTCCCCCCCCCCCCCCCCCCCCCCGCTTATTGAGACGAGCTGAACTGCTATTGTTATGGTACTCAGTACAGGCTGTGACACTCCTCAGCAGCACCTCAGGCAGACCAGAAAATCTGGGGCTGGCCAGGGGAAGCGGGTTGAGCTGATGTAGCCTGAGTTTTTCAAAAACCCACACGGGAACTTTCAAGAACAAAAAAAAAGGCCGAGATTTCAGAACGGCCTGTGGGAACGAGGTTTTCGTGTTTTTGTTGTTGTTGTTGGGGGAACTCGGGACGCTCTGAGCTGCCTACTGCTTGGCTTGCCAACCCCCAGGCACAAGGTGTAGCTTAGCCAGATTCTCTGCTTCTGGCTATGGATCCCCATGATCTCTTTTTTTTTTTTTTTTTTGGGACAAATGCTCCAATCTATTCGTGGGGCGCAGCACGTGCTGGGAGCTGGGCCCAGCGTCCCATGTAGAGTTACACAAGTCATTTGAGATACCGGGGCCATTACCCGGCTTCAGCTAAGAATCAATCTGGGAACTATTGAGGAAATTCAAGAAAATTAAAGGAGATTTAGTCCCGTCGGCTAGCTCAGTAGGTTTCATGACTGAGCGGCACCGAGTAGGTGCTGGGTTCTATTCCCGTTGCCGTCACTTTCAGTGGCCTGAAGGATTGGTGGCCACGGCCAGTCAACACTGGTAACTCGCTGGGGCGAGTTGTGCCGCCCTGTAACCCGTTGCAATACGGGAGCATGGGGCCAAGTGGAAGCGGCTGCCCAGGTCCTGCTGCTGCTCAGGTCCTGCTGCGGCCAGTCGGGACACACCCAATACACATCCAATAAACGAGCTCTCCGGTTGAGTTCTTAGTCAGAATCATCATAGCTGACATTCATAATTACGATGGCTATCAGGGTTGAGACCCTCAATTTCACGATAGTTCCAGAGGCAAAAAAACTCTCAACATACCTGTCACAACATAAGCTCAATAAGGAAGCTCAATAAGTCATGATCATGACATATAATCTACAATAATAACTTCCATAACAATCTCGAATTACCCAGGGCCGGTCACCTGTGGATATATCTCAAGACTGCCGCCGTTTATTAAAAAAAAANAAAAAAAAAAAAAAAAAAAAAAAAAAAAAACTAGTGGCCTCTTTTCGAATGCTCAGAACCCCTAGACTCCCAAACAAAACTCTCTAAAACTGTCCAACACTGTCTTATTCACTGTCAAGCTCTCCAAGGCCTCACACCCCACCCGGCTAGTTTACAGAGCAACACGACTCGCCCCAGCTCCGGCCAGCGTTGTCCCAACAGCAACCCTTAGTTGTCCCTTGGAATGCCCACCCCAAAGCATCCCCAAAGCTCTCTACCAGACCTCACGCTCCTGCAATCAGCAGGTTACAGGGCAACACCCCAGCACCGGCCAGCCTCGTTCTGGCCTCGAACAACCGCAGATCCATGAATGTACCAGTATCAAACAGCCTAAACCGAGTTGCTAGAAGTCCCCAGAATCCTAAAGCATTCTCAAAATGAGCAATGGTCAGAAACAAAGGATTTCAGTGACTGCGACCCTGCCCTGGAGCCATGGTCCCACAAGGCTCGAGCCACCAAAAGGACTGGTATACAAAGGGGCTGAAATCCTTTTTTCTTTTTTTTGAAAGGCCCATGTGCCACCCCTCTATCCCTGTGACGTACTAGCCTGCATGTGACTGGTTAAACCACCAGTACGTTTCCGAGCTATCACGAGAAAGCCCCCATGTTTCCACAGCTGCATTCTGGGGAAGTTTTGGTTGATTCGAATCATTTATGGTTGAAACGTTGTCAGGAAACTGCACAAGGGTGTGGTAAATAGCACTGATGGTTCAATTTCAATTCTGCATGTCTATGGTGACATGGGTCTGCCATCAGATGCATGAGTCATTTAGATGGGATCCGATGGAGGGCCACGGCAATTCTCCTGGCCCCACCCTTCCCTTTCCCCCCCTTTTTTTTTTTTTTTTTTTTTTTTTTTTTCACCGACCAGGGGAGCAAGCCTTCTATCGCAGTTGGGTGGCAACTCGGCACCAAGTGTGCCCAAGGTGGTCAGTGGGTTGAACCCAGGACCTCCTGACTTGCTTGCCTAACTAACTGAGCTAGGCCCCTCATTTTCTTTTTTCCTTCTTAAACCACCAGTACTTGGCCCAGCTATCGGCCGAGAAAAAAAAATAGGAGTTGGACCCCACAGGAAAAACGATGGAAAAGGCGTCTGGCCATAAAAAATGGCTGAACGATTTTGGAAAGGTTGGAAACTGTTTTACTGGGACCCCATAGCGGACTGCGTTTTGCGGCATAGTGCGGAAGTGATATTCCGTAACAGGAAAGGTGCCCATTCAGCATCCCGAAAAGGAAAGTGGCCGAATGTCTGGAAGGCGCGGGTGGACCCAAGGAATGACCGTGCCGCCTCATGTGGGTGACGCAGGGCAGCATGTGCGAGAGGCAGTGCGACCTCCCGCTGGTGAGAGGGCCGAAGGGGACCCGCTGTCCCCGTGGTGCTGGACCGTTCCACAGATGGGACCGTCAATGAGACCGTTGCCACAGGCCTTCCCATTCTGGAGGTGCTCGTTATGTATGCGAGCCGCTGCAACATTCTGCGTGAGTGAAAGCTCTCGCCACCATAACCACTGTCGTCTGCCGCGTCCATCGCTCTTTCGTCCCGTCCCCATCACTGCAGCTGAGCGGACGTGTTTGTACGTCCACGCGCGTGGCGCGTGCAAGCCTTGTTGCATGGAGAGTGGTGCGACTTCAGAGCCGATGGATGATTGGGACGACACCATGTTCCTGATGGTTTTCGTCCTTCTGCAGTGCATGAACAGAAGGAACGCGGTGGCGATGGCTGTCCTGCAGGCAGCGGCTGCGATGCCGACTTGTCTGTCGGGGTTGTCTTCCACCCTGTTGCATCTCACGGGTGCGGTGATGCACAGCATGTCACTAGCGGACGTGCTGGGCAGCGTTTTCATCCGTCGTGTGGATGGTTGAAGACGCGTGTGCGTGTTGGAACACACTGGGGGTCTGTGGAAGGACCTCCAAAGAGAGGGATGCAGGCATGAGAAGGTCTTCCAGCGGTTCTGCAGACTTCCTGGGCCGCTGTTCAATGAGATTCTGGCTCTCTCTCTCTCCCTCTCTCTCTCTCTCTCTCTCTCTGTGTGTGTGTGTGTGTGTGTGTGTGTGTATGTGTGTTTGTGTGTGTGTGTGTGTGTGTGTGTGTGTGTG